ATATACTTTGGTTCCTTGGGGTTTGGCATCACATAATGTTTCTTTCCTAGTCAAACTCAAATTTAGAATTACCTCATGCACTCCACTAGTCTAATACAATTGTCAAAAGGCTCATAGTTTCTAAAGAAACTGTTTGGGGCTGCGTCGGTGGGGGTAACGAAATAATTTGGATATATGAACAAAGTTAAAATGGTAAATTGGCCACCGTTACGATTATAAAAGCTGACGTTTTGAGCGTTAGCCTTTCGTCGGAGCTACAATTGTCAGACTAAAATGAGCACGTCGAACTACAAAGTTCTTCGGACAATGCACTTAAAAAATTAGTGTTATATAATGTTCACTCAAGAACTCTTATCACTGAAAATACAGCGATAAACTGAGCCTGGCACCTTAAACGGCGGCTCCTGCTTTTTGCGCTTCTAAAGTATTCTAACATTACAAAGGAAATTTGACATTTTAAAAATGAAACCAGGAGAATATGATGTTTCCTTCCATTTTAACTCCAAAATGCTCGGTAGCTATAAGTTAGGGAAAATCACCATCACAAATTAAAGATAAACAAAAGGTGTGGACTTGTTCAAATTTATCTAACGATTACAGCTTGCCTCATTAACTACGAAGAAAAGCCTAAAAATGAAAGAAGGCCAGAAGTCTGTATCGGAAAAAATTGCAAGGTAAACTTCCTGTTTATGGTCAGCGAAACGCTCACACCTCCAACTAGCTATGACTTCCAAACACAATCGCACGCAAAAAAAAAAAAAAATTTAAAAACGCCAACGCATTCGCCAAATCTTTATTGTACTTTACTGTTAGACTTACCTTAGCAGTCTCAGCTCTAAGCTCGATTTTCGAGTCTGGATCCTTGCCCTAAAATCAGAGAGGCCGCAAGGCAAGAAGTAAAATGTAACGTTATTAAAACAAGGCAGCAGGTATGGTACACTCCGTCCAAGGGGAAGCTACTGTAAGAAAGACTAGTACGGCAGATTCCTTAATTCGGAATGCCGAGAATTTTAAATACTAAAAATTAATTTTAAATTGGAATGATAACCGAAGAGTTTCAAACAAAAGAGGAAATCACGAGGAGAGAGGCTTGAAAGTAAAGAATTGATCTGTTGGAGTGCAAAGGATATTGCCAAGAATACGTAAAGGCGAATACTGCGTCAGCTCTGAATTAGGGTTATCTGCAATACTTTTCATTTCAGAAAAACCAGCAGAAAATCAATGAACGTTTGAGTGCCTTGAAATATTGAGGTTTTATTGACCAATCACGGAAACTGCGGGTATCGAGGAGAACATTCTGTCCTGTGCGGCTTTTAGGCCAATCGCGCGAGAGCAGAAATATTTGATGGATTTTAAGCATCAGTACTACCAGCAATCGAAAGCTATAACTGTCATTAATAGACTAAGAACTTTAAAGCTTTTGACTATAATCATCAGTAATGCTAAGGTTACCTTCATTTTCGAACTTTGGATATCTTTGGATTTTGAAGTGGCCTCTGTAGGTGAAACACTTGATCCCGAAGGGTGAACACTATTACTGCTCTCTTGATTAAGAGTGTTGGCTTGGATTTCTGGATCATTTTACGATGAACAAGCGGTAAAAAAATAGATAGAAAATGTTTCAAGCCATCTTACATAGTTTTTAGCTCGAGATTTAGTGTTCTTAGAAGTTAGTCACCGGCGAAATTAGGCGAGTTCACTCATTGAAAAGTGAATCTCATCGCCGAAAGATGTATGTCACAGTGTCTCTCGTCAAGCAACGCGCTCTTTCCCTCACCTAGTCAAAGACGACTAGGGAAGTTGGGACGACAATTTAGTTTAACAATCAATCGAACATGAATGGAGAACCAGAAGAAAATTTGCATTAGGAAATAATTTATCACTGTAACTAAGCTTACCTTGCAGCACACTTAAAACAACGTCGAATTTTGCAGACAAGAAAGTGCGATTGAGGGATGAGTATTTTTCAATGATTTTCTCTATCTCGTCCCTCGTTGGTTTATCATTTTGAAACTGTAACATCAGGTCTTTTACATCTTCATCAAGAATCAGTTGGAAACCTTTTAATGATATAAAATTGAAATATCAGATAAATGAATAGATAAATAGAAGAATGAGCAAATGAATGTGAAATATAAATTAATAGATCCATAAAAAAGAGAATANACGATATCCCGTAAAACAGGGGCCAGGACCTTGTTCGAGGCTGCAAGAATCACCAGCCATCTTTTATCGTTACTGAGGACGGCCATAGTGACAAGTTTTGCGACCCAATTAAGTGAACACGGGGTAGAATCTGTGATGAACAAAGCCATGACAAAGTTAAAAGAAACTTAAGGATGATAAAGGCGCTGCAGGTCAGTTTCAAGTAATAACGACAGAAAATTTCTATGATTTAGAGAAAAGAGATTTGTCGGTACCTAAAGATGGTTATTCCAGAGCTTTAGCCCCCTTTTCAGAAATTTAACTTCTATGTTATATGATTGGGTCAGGATTCCATCCAACGTGATATAACACCCAGTCCGTAAAGATAAGAGGATTTTGCCGGACTAAGGGACGAAAAACCATGCGGAACTCAAACATGAAAATATTCGCTAAAAGCGTAAGTTGCTTCATAATCGACGAGCGGCCGTTTGTATGAATAAAAAAAAATGAAAAATAAAACATCAAAGCCGAATTTTCTTTTTGATTGACTGAGGAATAATAGAAGCAATAATATTGTGAGAAATAAAAAGAGAGATAATAACGACTTAAAAAAAAAAAAAAAACCATGAACCAAAACCTCTTTCTTGCACTTTCCTCTTGTGCTCGACAGAAGAGGGTAAAACATTTTGAAAAAGTGAGCTGAAGAAAGCTGAGTGAATTTTGGCCTGTTTTCATCATTACAACAACATCTTTTTTTTTTTTCATTTCATAAAATCCCGTAGTATGATTAAACATCAACGACTAGCCTTTAGAAACTGCGGACCGAGTACCTTTACCAGTTAATGTTGTTTCAATGAAACATTCAATTCACACACGGATAATTTCATGTGCATCGGGGCTGGGATCTATTGGATTATGAATTTTTAAATCACTGTTATTTTACAGGTAATGCCCATATAAAGGCTGCTCTTGTAAAATTGATTGTTCAAAATCGGCTCACCGAATGTAGGACTAAGTTGTCACGGTATAGCGTGACGAACTCTAATAAAACGAAGCCCATCGATGACGTAAAAATAAATACCAAATAATTTCTCTCTTGGAAGGAAAAGTTAGCCTTTATTATTATAAATTTTCCCCTCTCGTCACCATCTAGTCGATTAGTGCTCTATATCATTCGCAGTTTTCGCTTCAGTGTTTGGGTGAAAAAGACTTCCTCTTCTGGAAACGCTCCAAAAGAAATGCTCATCTTTCCGGAGTCACTATTTTGAACGCAAGTTGCACCTGAGGACAAAGTACTGACAAGCAAACTGTTCCACACCGAACAATTAAAGAGCAGATCAAGAACAATTCCTCTTTTTAGAACAACTGCCAAGCAAAAGAGCCATTTGGCTCTTTTTGGAGCGACATGATAGCAAATACATTTTACACAGGAAATCACATCTCGTAAGCACTTTTCAATCACGCAAATAAGCCACAAATAACAAACTTTGCGGCAACTAAACACACACAAATCACGATGGTACTGGAGGTTCCAAAATATTATTTATTCCAATCTCGTTGTGTTCTATGTTGTTCTAATGAATTTTTATTTTTCAGTCGTCTCCTAAACGTACAAGCATGAGATGGGTTGGACCTCGCGAACTTGATTGGGTGCAAATACTTCTGCTTCCTAAGTCATCTAGATTTCCACCTTCATCGCTTATTCCTTTAATTCAAAATTCAGGCTGCGCAGAATCTCAGAAAAAAAGGTTATCTCGTAATTGGAATGCAAAACAGCTCAGGAACGAGTAAGGATGATACTTCTTTGGAGAAGGTATGATCAAAACTGAAATCGAAATTGACATTTGCCTTAAGCTTGGCTGAGTTAAGATGTCATCAGCTTAATGC